TCAAATTTTTCAGGCGGAAATTTCCGGAGGTCATGTGATATTCCGTAAATCGACGCCTAATTAAATTTCCTGATGAAATAGTGACGATAGTAATAATAATAAGAGCTATAATGAGAATAGTAAAGATTCAGATGTGGAAGATGATAGCAATGAGGTAAACTTTATGAATTTCTTATATGATTTACCTCAGGAAAAGACTAGAGAAAAATATAAAATTAACTCTAAAGAAATATATACAAATTCAGAATATACTATTTGGGAGACCTATGATTATTTGACATATTGTTTTGATGTCATTAAGAAAAAGAAGAAATATAGAGAAAGAAAGTGAAGAGCTATGAGACCAAACTCCTATTATTTGTGAAATAAGTACTTTGAGATCAAAGAAAATAAGTGTAAAATATAAAGAAAGGTTACAAAAATGAGAAACTATATTAATAATATCATGATATAAAATTTAGAATATTTATTGTAATCTAATAAAGGAAGTATAGAAATGTTTGAAAAAATTAATATAAGTTATTAATTGACAAAATCATTGAAAAGTTTTTCAACTTGATAATAAGTAACTTGTTGCAACTTGAGAAAATCAATGTTTACCAGTATACTACAAATACTGAAGAAGCAAAGCTCATCAAGTTATATTTATATTATACTTACACTATATTTGTACACAAAATTATTTTGGGGTTCCGAAATTGCAATTTTGATAAAAAAAGTTAAAATAATTTTTTATAGAAGACAAAATTATTTTACTTAAAACCTGAAATTTTTTTCTACCCAGATTTATTTTTTGATCAAATATACATATAACTAGATACATTTTTTGCTTCCATATATAGAATAGATTCTGTATAAATCTCAAAAGGCAAAATATCTCAAAAATCCAAAATTAATCTTGGAAACATGTAAAACTTACATGCAAAATTCTTTTGGAATCTTGAAATTGCAATTTTGAAAAAAAAAGTCAAAATATTTTTTTATAAAAGACAAAATCATTTTACTTAAAACCTAAAATTTTTTGATCATCCAGATTTATTCTTTAATTGAATATACATATAACTGGATACTTTTTTTACTTCTATATATAAAATAGATTCTGTATAAATCTCAAAAAGTTGAAATACCTCAAAAATCCAATTTCAATTTTGAAAACATGTATAGTTAATATATACTTTAATAGTTAATAAGAAGAATAGGAAGTTCAAACTTTATATCAATTATAGGAAGTTAAATATAATTACAAAACTGATGCTTACCCAGTTCCAAAAATAATTAACATATTAAATACCTTGAAACATTTAGTTTTCTTTTTTACTTTAAACCTGATATCAGAATTCTGACAAGTAAAAATAGTACTGAAGAATATGTGAAAACAGCCTTACCATTTCAATTGAGATATATGATTTTTTGTAATACTTTTTAAACTTATGAATACCTCTGCAGTATTTTAACAAATAATAGATAGGATCTTTTATGAAATTGTCTGAAAATCCGTACTTGTATATATTGATAATATTATTATCTATTTGAAAACTCACAAAAAATATGAGAAACACCTGAGAACTGTATTAATCCTACTAAAAAATATAGGATTAAGGATAAATTTAGGAAAGTACAACTTCTTTTGAACAAGACTAGTATTTCTGGAACATGTTATAATAATTAAAGAGATAATTCTTGACCTAGTAAAAATTGAAAAAGTAAAAAGTTATTCTATTTCAAGAGATAAGATAAATGTTCACACTTTTTTAGAACTTGTATTCTACTATAAAAGATTTGTAAAGGAGTTCTCTACTGTTACAAAATTATTATATAGTCTTTAAAAAGATGTCATATTTGAATAAAAGTATAAATATCAGTTTGTGTTTGATATATTAAAAGTCACCTAACTTCAACACCTATTATAACTTATTCAGACTTTACAAAACAATTAATACTTACCACTAATATATCTGACTATAATATTGGAGCAATGCTCTTACAAACAAATATGGATAATTACAAATATCCTGTTGCTTATACTAGTCAATTGCTATTAAGCACTAAACAAAATTATATTGTTGATAAAAAAGAATGTCTCACCATTATTTGAATTATGTGATACTTTAAACATTATTTATATGGTTTCAAGTTTAATTTGTATATTGACAATTTAGCCCTTATATAGTTGAAGAACCATTTACAACCAAAGGAAGAATTATATGATAAAGTTTTGAACTATCTGAATATGATTACAAAATTATTTATAAATAAAGATGTTTTAATATCAATGTTGATATCCTATCTCATATCAAGTACTAAAATTAAAAAGAAGAGATACAGAAATTTAGACAAACAACAAAAAATCTACAAAACCTTTTGAAAATAGATATAGACATTTGCAATCAAATAAAGAAATACTTAATTAATCATTTTTTCCTATAGAATTAAATAAACAAACAATAACACAATTACAACAACAATTGAATCATTATCTTTATTATTAAAAAAAAATTCAAAACTGTTTGTTTTAACATTTTTGATTGGTTGTTTTGGTTATAACACATTACTGTGAGATAACCATCAGATTTTACAAGCATAATTGACGATTCAAGCAAATCTTATATCTGAATGGAGAACTTCGAAAAGGACATAACATAATAAGATTTTCTCAGATCAAAAGATTTACAAAGGATTTATGGAGGAAAGTAGTTGGTGTAACAAAATGATTCTTCTTCTTTTTTTGGTTTAGTAGGAAGGAGAATAATAATGGAGAAGGTGGTCACAATTAACACTTAACTTGCTTCGATTATGTTATTACCAATCTTAAATACTTTTTAAAGATTAAAATTATTGATGAAATAATATAATAAGAAAATTCATTCATTAGTATTATACATGAAAATTGTATAAATAATAATCTGTTGATAGATAGTAAAAAATAAAATTGTGTTAATTATTGAAATTCAAAAGTTGCTTTGATCTAATTTTAATTCTGTGAGTTGAATTTCCAATTTTATTTGTAAATTTCTTTGATAAATGTCCCATCTTCATATATTTCATTCACAAACTAAGGAAGAATGTCAAATTGCAAATACTTTCTAGATGCAAAAAGTACAACAGTTATGTTCTTCGACGAGAAGTTTGTATCAGGCTTATAATATTGGTCATTATATTAGCGAAACAATTACATTTGATTGTCATAATCTTGATGATATATATATATACTCATGCTATAATGTTAGATTTTTTTCTACTAAAACACAAGGAACATGTTGTGGGTTTGAAAAAATCAGATAACGAGTTATCAGAATAGGTTATCAGAATAATATTAAGCATTTTTTATATACGATGTTATTGCCTTTAGTTTGTTGATAATAAGTTAATTCTCACAAGTGATACTGCAATTTTAAAAAACTTATTTACTAGAGACTACAATGTCAGAAAAGATTTTCATGCTAATATTAGAGCTTATAACAGTATTTTTGCATTCACTTCTATAGGTGTCAGATTAGACGAAAACCTTGCAAACAGTAAGAAATTTCTAAAAAACTATATTAAGTTGTAGATGTACCAATAACATATCAATTAATTTATTAAATAGGCAAGAATGGAGTTTACATGTTTCGAATACAAGAAGGAATCTATCATTCTGTAAGATCACTTCTTCCAGTTGATAAAATTTCAAGATTTTTTCAATTATATATTTACAATATCAAATTCAAAACTACAAATAGATTAGCTATAATGCCTCAGCTTTGTCAAAATATTTTAGAAATTATCAAATCTTTGTTAAACAATTTATATCTTTTTGTAACCAATTTTTATTTAATTTTCTCTGTTAGTGATATAACAAAACTTTGTCTTTTTATCAGAACTGATCATGGCTTGGATCAACTTGTTTACAGTGTACCAACAGCATTACAGGTTGCTGCTGTATTGATAGAAGAAAATAAACCTACAGAGTATACTGAATGTGATATAATTGTGCAATCATGATTACAGGGACTACAACAGATATCTGAACTAAGTGGTTACTATAATTCAATGTAATATCTACTTCTTTTTCTCCAAGGAGATTACAGCTGGCACCTAGAAATATTGCAAAATATGTCACAAAAGAAAGTTACCGTTAAGTAATATTATTCCTATAAACTATATTTTTAAGAATTTTTCCTGACAATACTTTTTTTTAGCAGTCAATTTTTATACAATATGATATTGATAACTATATTAAAATGGAATCTTTATATCTTAATTACTTATGTTTTAACCAGGATAAAATTCATAGAGAATATTATCAGAGATTACAAGTTTCTATTAAATCGGAATTAGTTAATACATCTAAAGTAAGACATTGTGTTATTTTGCCTTCATCTTTTATAGGTAGTCCTCGAGATATGTATTAACATTATCAGGATGCAATGGCATTGATACAGGTTTATAAAAAATCAGATATATTTGTTACCATTACATGTAATTCTCAGTGGTCCAAAATTACATTAGAACTTTTGTCAATACAGATACCATAAAATAGACTAGACTTAACAGGTAAAATCTTTATTTTGTTTATTTATTTTATATTTATTTATCAAATTTTATTATATCGTAATTATTGTTGATCAGATTTGTCACTAATGTTTATTCTATTTTTTTAATTTTTAATTAATTTTTAAAGCTCAAGTTTTTCATCAAAATTACAAAAACTTAAGAAGGATTTGTTTGAAAGGAATATTCTCGGTCAGGTAGTAGCTCACATATATATAGTAGAATTCTAAAAATGTGATCTTTCGCATACATATACATTATTGATATTTCAACCTGATAATAAACTCCATAGAGCTGATGAATATGATACTTTTGTATCCGCAGAATTGCCTGATCCAATGGAGCAACTTAGGTTATACCAAATAATAGTTTCTTACATGATTCATGGTCTGTGTGAACTTTTTAATAGTAATTCCCTGTGCATGAAAGAGAATTTATATAGTAAATGTTATTCAAAAGAATTTGTTCAAGAAACAAGAGAAGGAGATGACTCATATCCGTTATATCTTTGACATGAAAATGGACAATATGCGTCAATTAAATGTGTAAAATTAGATAACTGCTGGATAATTCTATATAATCCTTATCTCTCTTTTAAATTTGATTGTCATATCAATGTTGAAATATGTTCAAGCATCAAGTCAATTAAATATTTATATAAGTACGTATATAAAGGTCACGATCATGCTACTTTGCAAATTGCCAATAAAGATGAAATCAATTAATATCTAGATACTTAATTGGTTTTAGTGTCAGAAGCATGTTGGAGAATTTTTGATTTTAATATTTCAAATATTAACTCCTCAGTACTCCGTTTACAAATTCATTTCCCTAATTAACAAAGTATAACATTTCCAGAAACATCTAATTTGAATAATATTCTTACCGAAGAATGAAATCAAAAAATGATGTTAACTGAATATTTTAATATGAACCAGATTGATTTAGAAACCAGAAATTATTTATATCGTAAAATCTCTCAATATTATGTTTGAAATAAAATATCAAAAAAATGGATAAAATATAACAAAGGAAATGTGGTTGGAAGAATGTACACAGTTAACTTAAGTAAAGAAGAACGTTACTATTTATGGATATTTTAAACAATATCAAAGGTACCACATTATTTATAAATCTAACAATTGTTAATAATTATCAATGTGTAACATTTAAAGAAAGTGTAGTAAAACAAAAACTTATAGAATGGAAAAAATATATCATGAAACTATATAAGAAGCTACTTGATTCTGAATGCTACCTGCTTTAAAACAATTGTTTATTATGATATTGATATTTAAAGAACCAAATGATATTCGATCTCTGTGGAATGAAAACTTTGATGCTATGTCTGATAATTTTGTAGAAAAAAAAATTTTCAGTAATTACCTTTGAATAAATACCATATTCTTTCAGATAAGTTTTCTTTTGGAACAACATTGCAAATCATTAAACAAATATAATCATCCTTCTCTTATTTTATTCAATAATGACTTTCAAAGTGAAATGCCAAAATTAATATTAAATGAACTCGATATTTCTGTAACCATTGAATATTTAATTAAAATTGAACTATTGAGCAAAAGCCAAAAGTCAATATTCAACACTGTTATAAACCATATTGAAAATAATAAACTGGTCGTAATTTTTGTTAATGGATCTGCAGATAAATTAAAAACTGATAATATTAATATCTTAAATATTAATATTTAATAATTATGATATGTTTAATTCTAAAAATATTAAAATATTATATATAAGTTCTGGAAAAATTTTTTTGTATTCCTGCTTGCTTGCCAAAATTCGTTCAACAACTTCGGTAGCATTAGCAATGACTTCATCCAGTATTGCTGCGTTACTTATGTCTGGAGAACAAACTGTATACTTTAGGTTTAAAATTTCATTAAATATTTATTCAAATTCAATTTGTTCTATTAGTAAATAAAGTCATTTAGTCAAATTATTAAAATTAACTAAATTAATCATTTGGAATGAAATTTCTATGACAAATCATTATTCTGTAAAAGCCTTGAATTGAACCTTAAGAGACTTGATGAAATGTAACCTCCTGTTTGATAAAAAAATCTTTGTATTCAGTGGAGATTTTCATTAGATCTTACATCAGGAAATTTTTAATAGAAAATATATCCAGATATATTTGAATTAAATATATCCGAATATATTTGACCACCCATACATTTATCTGCATTAAATATTCGAATTTATCCAGATAAATATGTAAATATATTCGCATATATTCGTTTATTCGAATTTATCCGAATACATTTTCGAATATATTCGCATATATTCGTGTATTCAAATTTATCTGGATACATTTTTTCAAATATATTCGCATATATTCGTGTATTCGAATTTATTCAGATACATTTTTCGAATATATTCGCATATATCTGTATGATTCAAATTTATTCAGATATATTTTTCAAATATATTCGCATATATCCATTCGAAT